AGTTTTTAAATTTATAAACAAAAGAAAATGATTTATTAACTACTTACTTTTCACCATTCTACTTCTTATACACATATATTTTATTAATATGCTCTGGGAAATAAAGACTATAAGTATCCCAAATAAAAATAAAAGATGCAAATAAAAAGCATCAATATCCCAAAGTAAACAAGTAAAGAATATAAATGCCCCAAGCCCTGCAATGTCCAAGGAGAACGTGTGTCAGTAACTGCATGCATGACATTACTAGGAAAACTGAGCCAGCAATTAAGGAATGACATGGAAAAAGTGGGAAATGTACTCTTTAATCAGTTTAGCTCATTACTATTTATCACTCAACCCTATGAAACAGCCTTTGTTTTATCTACTGTGGCATATTCGAAACATACGGCATCTGAACAGAGTTATCCACCTGGTTACACTGAGCTAACAGGGAAGAGGTTGTGAAATACCTATCTTCATTGTTACCTCATAAACCACATCAGCAACTGAGAAACAAAAATAAACAAAGAATCTGAAATGCCCCACTTTAGGTGTGGAATTTTACTGGGTGCAGAGGGATATGAATACATAGCTACTTATATTAAAATAAGAACAACAATAGTGATAATAATAGGAGGGTAAACTAAAAACCTAAAATGCAGTGGTTAGTAGAGGAAAGTAAAGCTATGCGTCTCTCTGAATGCATTATGTTTTGAATACTTGAGTTTGGAACCATGTATTTTACATAATTCTAAATTTAAATTAAATTTAAAAGCAATCCCTAAAACTCGAGAGCAAAATAAACAAACAAAGTTATGTGTCTAAGAGTTGGTTGCATAACCATGCAGAGAAAAACTTCTAAAGTGTCGTTAAAGCATAGTAAATTGGCCAAACATACCTAGTGTGATACAGCTTAAAAACAAAAAAAAATTACAAATAAAAACTCTCAATCTGTTTCTAATAATAATATTGTTGGTCATGTTAGCATTATGCATTGGGATAAAGCAAGTGAATAATCATGTTAATGTCACTGGGAACTGGAATCTTTCAGCATGTTAGAAAAGATGCAAAACCAAAGAGGTCAAGGAAAGACCCTAGTGTCTGGATTTGAATAGAAAGTGTCAATATACATTCACAATTTTGCGTGCACACACACACACACACACACACTTTCAGCTCTATGTATTGGTCTTGAAACATTAAAGAACTCAGTAGCAATGTGCACCCACAATGCCCAGATTATAATCTCTAATTATCATTTCTAATCCAAAAGTAAGGAGAGCTCCTTAAATTCAAACTGCAGGTCTGAGACAGAAAATACACAGCTTAAACCTGAAATATCTTGTTCTGCCAAAAAAACAAGAAAGCCATTAAAGCCTATTTAAGGCATACCAAAGTCTCAGGAGCCAATCTGATGTCACCCACTGGCCAAGAAATGGGCTAATTTGAGCATCAATTAGAAGACCTGCTTCTATCTTCCTTTGAAGGACTGAAATACTTCAAATATGTTTTAATCCATGAGGTTATAATAATCCTAAAATTGGGGGGAGGGGGCATATTTGAATATGTTAATTTACCAACTTACTATTTTTTTGAATCCCCACCCAAGGATACTTTTTCCATTGCTTTTCAGGGAGAGTGGAAGGGAAGGAGAGAAAGAAAGGGAGGGAGAGAAGCATTGATGAGAGAGACACATCGGCTGGTTGCCTCCCACACAGGCCTGACCAGGGCCAGGGATCGAGCCTGCAACTGAGGTACGTATCCTTGGCTGGAATCGAACCTGGGACCCTTCAGTCTGCAGGTTGGCACTCTAACCACTAATCAAACTGGCCAGGTCCCAAGTTATTTCTAAAATTGGTAAAGGGAAGTAATCAAGCACGTATCCCATCTTTCTTACATTCATCACGTCTTGAAGTAATTAAATAGTTGTTGAGAAAAAAAGTTTCACTTTCTATGGAAAAAATAGTCCAGCTAACAAATAAAATCAGAATAACACTATTTTGAAAGTACTAATGAATTAATTAATGATCTAGAAAATGGTGGCTGCTAACATCTTAAAGGGAGAAACAACCGGATATCGTGTGCCTCCTAACAACCCGTCGCATGTAAAGTAGCCTTGTCAGCAAAACCGAACTTACATGGGATGAAGCTTCCCATGTTCCACATACAACTACCAATGAACAGGAAATAGGACAGAGGAACAAGTTAAAAGAAACCATTAGGAGGCAATCAGCAAACTCCAGAATGTAATACACTTTACTGATTAGTTTTATCCATAAACTGCAAAGGGGTAGGGAGAGAAGATGGGAGGGAGAACTAAGATTAGGGGAGATTTTGGAGACGTATGAGCCAAGTGCAGGGTATGAACTTCATTAAAATTTTGATGTCAACTAGTAAACTGTATGGGGTAGGGGTTTATGAAACAATAAGGAATATTTGAACATTGGCTGGATATTTAATGCTGTAAGGAATTATTTTATGTTGCTTTAGGTGGAATAATGACATGGTTCTGATTTTATTTTTTAAAAGAAATCCTTACCACTTATAGAGACACGCTGAAATATTTACAGCATGAAATGATGTAAATATTATTTTCTTTGAAATAATCTGAGTGGAGGGGAAATATGAAGAGTTTGTAGGTGAAACTTGCTAACTGTTTCAAGTGAATACTTCTCTCTACTTTTGTATATTTATAATTTTCCATTTAAAAGTTATAAGAACAAAAATTAGAATGCTTCTGGTTGTGAAACTAGGCCTGAAAAATGAGATAGAGACCCGGGGATTTCAAAATGCAGGGTTTCTTAAGAAAGAACAAGTATTAGAGGGAAAATTTACTGGCTTATATAAATGGCTAAAATCATTTCTTTTATGCATTATATTAAAAACATCAGAATTAATTGGGAAAAAAAAATAATACTTACTAAAGAGGAGAAAACAACTCCACACAAGAAACAACGTCACTTAATTCACTTAGAGACGCAAGAAATGTGTCTGCAAGGCAAGCTGTGATTTCTGTTCAGACGTTACTAGGCTAATAGTTTCATATTGTTAATGACACCCAATTAGCATCTTCACTTATTTTCATATACAGAAGAAATCTACGCGTGATCTGTAGAATCCTTTAGTGATACCCAGTAAAAATACCTCATACCGTCTGGCTGGTTTCTTAGTCTTAGCAAGAAAGGGTAGGAGAGAGGCCTGGCCATGTCCCCCTCCAACCCCGGCTCCTGGATGTGTCAAGAAGGAGGACTTGGTTATCTTGGAACAAAAGATATCCTAGAATGGCCCCGACATAAAAGTCCTACGTGCAATGCCAGGTTTAAGTGTTCCTTTCTCCAATGAGTAAAATAAATTTGCTTCCATCGTCTGAAATACTATGGGGCTAACAATCCTTTTGTGCTGTGAAGACCTGCGGGTGTTCTGGCTGCTGTGGGAGCGGGGCGCGCTGCTCACAGGAGCCTGCAGCATCTCAGAAACGCTCAGGGCACTCTGCAGGTGGAAACAGAAATAAAACAATACCCCCCCACATACACACACACACCCCCAACCGCCATCTGAAGTTCTCCTGTCTGAGTACCATGCCCGACGCCAGCTTCCCGCCGGAAGTTATTAGGCCATCCTCAAAAAGTGCAACTTATCCTGACGCCTCGGGAGACGGAAAAGTTGCCGCCGAGGTCCCCGAGATGAGTCACGGTGCTCAGCGTTGATGAGTAACGTCAGGTGTCGGGAACCCCTGATCGGAAGCAGGGGAGAGGAGGGGGCGTCAGGTCCGCGGGAGGGGGGCGAGCGGCCCCTGGGGATTGGACGGCGCGCGCTCGGCTTCCCTCCAACTGCGTCATTTGGAACCGCATTGGACGCGGAGATGATGGGCACCGACGGGTTACCGTCTCGGAAACTCTCCATCAGACGCAAGCCCTCGGAGAGGAGGCGGCTAATTAAATATTGAGCAAGGAAGTCGCGTGGGGAGCGCGTCACGTGGGCCTCCGCGCGCGTGGAGCCGCAGATAAATAG